TATGTATAAGTGCACGAGATTTCAATATGGAATTGGCAATCACCAACGATAACACAAGTGCAGGTTTGTATAGTTCGAAATTGCATAGAATTATGGTTTTACGGTATTATCTATAAAATTACTACATTTGTCTACAATTAAACTATAAATCAGTTTAATGAAAGAATAAAGCAATTTTGTTTTCAAAATTATCTACAAAGTTACTACATTTATAAGACAAAATAAACTACAATCTATGATTAGAAATTGTTGAATTCAAAATGTTGTCTTTAAATAAATTATCTACAAAGATTCTACAAATTGTAATAGTTATAGTACAATTTAACTACAATGTCTGACATCCTAAAATGGATGACTACAAAATTTTCACTAAATCTACAAATTATCTACAAAGATTCTACAAAATTATAACACTGTTTATCTTTATTTTGATGCAAGTTCGTCTGGATCCCTAAACACCGGGGTAGGATCACACAAAGTGTGGAATCTAAGCACCCCATAATCCACATTATGTGAGGCAAAATAATGTCCATCCTGCACAAAATGATAAATTATTTCACATTAGTAAACTGCATAAAAATGAAGCATTAATCTACATATAACTACACAATCACTACACAAATAGCTAAAAACAAATCAGGAAGAAAAAATACATACAAATCTGCTTCAAAAAAATACAGTCTACCCACACATATAACTACAAAACACTACAAGACATCTACAGATATAAACATTATCTACAAAAATGCAGGAAGAAAAAAGTAACTACAGCTCTATTTCAAAATTTAAAAGCTAACGACAATATAACTACAAAACGACTACAAAATAACTACAATTATAAACTGTAGAAAATTACAACTACAAATAATCTACAAAATTAAGACAGTTGCTTGCCGCCTGGTGTAGCACTTCCTCCAGCATCTACATCGTGCATTTGCTTTGTTCTCGTCTCGGCACGGTAACTGTGTGTAGTAGGTTCCATTGTATGTGTGGATTTTACTTGTTTTTGTGGTGATTTTGGTGTTAAAACACCCAAATCGAAAGAGGGGATATCACCTACTGTAGATTTTTTAGGTATTTTTTTGGGAGATTTGATGTTCTTCATGGTTTAACTTCGACTTGACTAAAGATGGGAACGAATTTTGTAGAATGATAACTTCAATATTTGGTGAATTTAAATGGAGAATAATGAAGAACGTGGGTAGCTTTTGTTCTATAAAGAAGAAAACAGACGCTAAACGTGGGGGAGTGAAGAGTAAAGGTAAAACGTGGGGGAGGGGGGGGGGAGTTAGGAGAGAGAAAGTGAGGGATTAGTACTGAAAAAAACGAAAATGCTTTAATTAAGGAGTAGAAAATATCACATTAATTATAACCTTAATTAGATATGGTATAAAAATGGTAATTTGGTATACTAAATGTAAATTTACTCAAACCTTAAACATGTAGGGTAAAAAGGTTTCCTAAGTGGGATAGGAATGTAGAAATTCCTTAATATTAAGGGGGAATTACATTCCTTATCACTTGGTCCAACAACCCATTAGAAAATGGCTCACGTTTGAAGCCTTACCCAGTGTAGCACAGGTTGGACATAACTTGAAAATTACTTTTCATCAGTTAGCCCACCCTTTTTTTCTTGGTTCTTCTTCTTCTTCTCGTATCAGCTTTTACACCACAAAATTTCTCTACTATTGTTATTCTCCTTCAATTCTTGTCCGGATTCCAATGGTTAACTAAGGATTTGAAAAATAAAAGTCATCATTACAGGTGGTTCAAAGATTCGGTTTCAGAAATTGAGTTTTCCGATTTGTTAGCTGTTTGGAATGGGTGTTGTCCCAATTGATCGGAATCATCAAGTTGAGTTCAAAACATAAATTTCAAGTGATGTGGAGTAGATTTAGGCTATATTTGAGTTAAATTTGAGAAGATGCCCAAGGAAGAAGAAGAACACGTGAAGCTCTGTTGATAGGATTCATTTGTATAATAATGTATAATATTGTATAAATAGTGTATAAACACCTCTTATACACTATTGTATACAAGGCTGATACATTATTTATAGGTATTTGGTGAACTTCTCGCATATTCTTCTTCTTCTTCTTCTTCTTCTTCTTCTTCTTCTTCTTATATACTTGTATACATAGTGTATCAAGAATATTTTCACTTTTTGATTATACATCTTTATACACTTTTATACAGTTATATACATAATGTTCCTCTTTGGATAAAAGTGTATAACAATGTATAAAAGTGTATAAGCTTCTCTGATGAAATTTTTGTACGATTTTCACTTGCAATTCTTGTATAAAACTAGTCCAAATCTCCAACAAATAACTTCAAACTTTGTATACAACCTTTTTAGACTATTTTTAATAAGTTTAAACAATACCCGCTCCAAATTTTTCACAAAATCATAATCAAAATTTAACAAGATTAGCATTAAAGGATATGAGATTTTAGGTATCTCGCGTCTGTTTTTGTGTTTTGTAGTTGTGATATGTATGTATAAACATGAAGATATACAAAAAAAAACAATAATAATAAATAATAAAAAAAATAAAAAAAGTATTGGTTATGGAAGAAGGCACGAATGAGTGTGATTGAATGTGTCAATCAATGGTTACGCTAAAAATGGGGAACTGCTTTTTGTTTTCATTTTTGTTTGCATGTGATTCCTTTTTATTAATTAAATTAAATATTTATGAGTGAAAAATGAGGGGAGAGCTACAATAGGGGTAGGTAGGTGATGAAAAAATAAATGAGGTCGTTATAATTAGAGGGAATTGGAAACGAAGAGATCTTATTGTTATTTGGCTACACATTTGCAAACTTGTAACTGGGCTAGAATAGTGCAAGGTCAACTTATGAAGTACATTATTCTGTAATTTTGTCAAACATAAAAATAATTTTTAAAAATATGTGATATTTTAAATAGATATTTACAAGCGACTACCTTAATATCATTTCTACAATTTGAAGCATGTTAACTCCTCCTGCTCTTAGAAGAATTTACCTAAATACATACTCACTCAACCTCTTAAATTTAAAATAGTCGATATATATCTATCTATATATATATATAATCGTGTATAACCTATATACACAAGCAAAAAAGGTACATTTGTGTTGTAGTCCATTATTTTATTTGGATTGATCGTGGAGTTCGCATTGGGTTTACGATTTTTGAGATTAGAAGAATTAAAATTAACCTGAATAACCGTCCACTCAATGGTGTAAATTAAAAATAGCAGACGAATATATATATATATAACGGCTAAAAATATAAAAAGTAAATTTGTACAACTATTTGTATAAAGATCCCCTTTGATTATTAATGGAATTTTTACCTCCTATAGCAAAGGTTAACACCTTATTTATTTTAAATAAATACCATTTAAAAAAATTATATTCTATAGATCCCTTTTAATGTTTATAGCAAAATATCAAATTTTGGTTACCTCCTACCTCTAAGCCACTAAATACGCTATTCAGTTCTTTCTCTCTCTACTTTGATACATGTCATTCTTTTCCCCCATTCCTTGAAAATACGATGCTCGGTCTCAAAATTCCTCTTACCCACATCACCTACGTTCTCTCCGATCCCAATTTCTCCAATTCCATCGGACGTTGCTTTGGCTCTTCTTCGCCATTGTAATTGGAATATGACTAAAGCTAACAAAGAATGGTTCGCTAATAAGCTCGAGGTTAGTAAAGCTATAGGTATGTTAATATTGGAGAAAGAAGAGTCCTTATTCTGCCACCATTGCTCGACGACGTCATCTTCTTGAGGTTTCATCTTCTGGAGAAAGAAGAGTCCTAATATTGGATAAACTCGAGGTTCTCAACTTCCGTCATCTTCAATACAAGATTCAAGCTTTAACAGAGTCCTTATTCTGCCACCATTGCTCGACGACGGATTCGTCGGAAATTAGGGTTTGTTCTTGAACAAAGACGACGGAGTTTGGGCCGAGCAACTTGATTTTCTGTTAATATATTTCAATGTATTTTCAACGTATCACGTTGTCTTTTCATGTATTTCATTGTATTCATTGTCTTTTTGTTTCATTGTAATTCAATGTATCTCGTTGTATTCCGTGTATTTCATTATATTCACTTTTTTTTTCCATTGTATTTTAATGTACCCCGCTGTATTCTATGTATTTCATTATATTCACTGTCTCGCTATATGCCATGAATGTATTCATATATTTTTTTTAATTAATATAATTCATGTATTCAGATGTATTATATAATTTTTCTGAAGATTGCTATGTTTTTGGGGTATTTTTCGGTTGGGAATCTTTTTTATAACCGGAAATACAAATTTTGTGTGTTATAATTGAGTTTATTGAGTTATATTAGGAGTCTATTATGTTACTTGATACACTTTTCGTTTAAAAACAGTGTAATCCCCTGTTTCACGCCGTGAATACAGACCAATAATCTGTCTAGGTGTAATCCCATGTTTCACGCCATGAATACAATCGAATACACTCAAATACAACAACTGAGCCAAGTATTGGGGATATAGGACTCGGACAGAGTTAGAGGGTGATCGCAAGGATTCAGGGTAGAGCTACTTGGTCGTCGCAGTCCCTTGGAGTCTTTCCCTTTTATCGTACTGCCAATTATTATTCGAGCAGTAGTGTATATTTAATTTCCTTCAGATCATTTCATGTATTCAGTTAGAGTTCGTGACTCAGTACTACTAGTCTTGGGAGGTTGTATTTTTATTTTCGCTGTTGGTTTCGATTATTTATAGAATAAAAAAAAAGACTTGAATTGTTATTATAAACGGCTTACTTAGTCTTAGAGATAAGTGTCATCACGATATTTATGGTGGAATTTTGGGTCGTGACAAGTTGGTGTTAGCTAGACTTCCTTGATTCATGCATATTTTTGCTATTGTATTCATGAATAAGAACAGAAAATGTATCTAAAATCCGTAATATATAGCAAATAGTATCTATCAATACCTAATTAGCACTAAACATACTGCTTTATGAAAATTAAGTGAGCTTTGAGTTGCTTTCTTGGGCTCCGGAGTCCGGTGGGCTTTAGTCTCACAACAATAGCAAAGCACAGCGGCCACTCCATCGTCGACGTGAACTGTGCTGATGGTTTTACTATGCCGATTGACTAAGCTTCACCAGACAACCTTTTAGGTGAAATTGTTCATGTACTCTAAAACCAGGTTCTACTTTAGTTTCTGAAATTAAACTTTGTCTTAATGCTGAATGCTAGTACGATGTATTTGTCTTCTTGTTCATCTGGGAATGCTTAGTTTTTTTTTTTTCCAATAGAAGCAAAAATGTTACAAACCCAACAACAACAAGCAACTGTTCTTGTTTCCAAATTGCTGAAACTCCCACCACTCAAAGCTCTCACACTCTTCAAATCCTCAACAGAACTAGGCTTCCAACAAACTCACCAATCGTTTGCCATAATCCTAAACCAGCTTCTATCATGCAACGCGCTCTCACGCGCTCAATCTCTCATCTTACAGTTAGTTTCTGGTAAAATCACTTCACCCCATTTCACTGTTTCTTCCTTACTTCACCATTTAACACATACCCATTTCTTGAATTCTACTCCTTTATATGAAATAATCATTAATGCCCATGTTCAATCTCAATTAGTAGATAAAGCTTTGATCTTTTTTAATGAAATGATTGATAAAAGACTTCTACCTACATCAAATACATCTAATAGTATACTTTCTTGTCTTATAAAGAATGGATCTTTTGAAAAGGGTTGGTCTATTTTTGAAGAATCAATTGGAAAGGAGTTCTTGGATATGCATAGTTTTGGGATAGTGATAAAGGGTTGCTGTGAAAATGGTGACTTGAATGGTGCCTTTGAGGCCTTAGCCAAATTGAAAGACTTGGGTTGGCATCCGAATGTTGTAATATATACAACCATGATTGATGGATGTTTTAAGCACGGTAATGCTGGACGAGCAAAGGAGTTGTTTAGTATAATGTCAGCTGAGGGTATCGTTCCTAATCAGTACACTTATTCTGTTTTGCTTAGTGGTTTCTTTAGGCAAGGACTTAAAACTGATGGCTTTGAGCTTTATAAGAAGATGAAGCTTGACGGAGTGTTTCCCGATATATATACTTATAACTCTCTTATTAATGTGTATTGCAGCGATGGAAAAGTTAACAAAGCATTTGAATTATTTGATGAAATGCAGCGTAACGGGGTAGTGTGCAATGTTGTAACTTACAACACTTTGATTAGAGGGTTATGTCAAGAGAAGAGGGTATCAGAAGCTGAGAAATTGTTGGAACGATTAAAGCAGGCTGGTTTGCACCCTAATTTGATCACATACAACACTCTGATAGATGGGTATTGCAGCGGTGGAAAGCTTGAGAAAGGATTAGCTTTGTTCAATCAGATAAAGTCCTGTGGATTAACACCTACTTCAATCACATATAATACTTTAATTGCGGGTTTCTCCAGAGCTGGAAATCCATCAAGGGTTGTTGACTTTGTTCGTGAGATGGAGGAAAGAGGCATATTTCCTTCAAAAGTCACATACACAATTCTAATTGATGCATTTGCTCGATCGAAAGACATGGAAAAAGCTCTTGAGGTGTTCTCGCGTATGCATAAAGCTGGTTTGAGTGTAGACCTTTGTACATATGGTGCCTTGATACATGGATGGTGTAGTCAAGGGAATATGAAGGAAGCATTGAAGTTGTTACGATCAATGTCTGAACATCATCTGGAGCCTAATGATGTAATATACAATATGATAATATTTGGATACTGTAAAGAGGGCAGTTCCTATAAAGCGTTGAGGCTGCTTAAAGAAATGGTTGAGAATGGAATGGTTCCAAATGGAGCAAGCTATTGCTTGACAATTGAAGTTCTTTGTAATGATGGGAAGTGGAAAGAGGCCAAAGTTCTTGCCAATGGCATGATTAAATTTGGTCTAAGGCCCTCGGTACCATCATGTGATCTGATTCAAAAAGCAATTGACATGACAACTTAAGTATATTGTGATTGCGGTCCCTTAATTATTTGCACAGAATGAGCAATGGGGGAAAACAGTAACTGGAAAACTGATGAAGCCTAAAATATCTTAGAGTGCCTTGTACTCAGTATCATGGTAAGCTTGACTGCCACTAACACCTTTTGGTATTGAACGGTGGATGTTTATTGCAGTTTCATGTCATCGGTTTATATGTTATGTTTTTAGTGTATCTAGTGAATTATGTGACCATTCTCTTGTTCCATGTTAATGTAGTTCATGTTATTTATTTTGCAGCCCGTCTGCTAAAGATTATGCAGACCACTTAATCACAAGCTTACGCCGATTCTTGTCAGAAAAGAAATGAGGAGGCCTTCTTAAACAAGTCTTTAAATGATTTGGATATTATACTTACTACAGAAGTCTCCCTTTGTCTTCTTCAGTTCGTCAACATTATTGTTAGTTTGTTATCCCTTTATTCTTAGATTGCTATTACTACCGTTTGCTACCTTGGCTTCGGCCCTCTTTTTATCTTGTTGTTGTTTATACTTGTTGTCATTACCTCTTTTTATCTTTTCTGTAGCCGAGGGTCTTCCGGAAACAGCCTCTCTACCCTCTAGGGTAGGGGTAAGGCTGCGTACATCCCATCCTCCTCAGATCCCGCTCGTGGGATTCACTGGGTTTGTTGTTGTTGTTGTTGTTGTACTTACTACAGAAGTCTCGTCTACGACGGAGTTCGATAACAGCTGCATGCTACTTTGTTTCATCATATGAGGCAGCAGAAATAACTTGTGCATCTGTGCAGTCCTGTCTCAGATTAGGTTGAAGATATAAACTATACATAATAGTTATTAGGATCTCTTGTTGTTGTTAGTATTGCATTTTCTCTATAAAAGGAGCTTAATGAAGTTGTTGGGATTACTCTTTTTGGGTGGGAGATGAGGTGTTGGGCTCACCAATGTTCTTGAACCAGCCAATAGAGCAGCTGATATTTATTCTTCAGAGTGTCAATGGACCAGTCATCTCTATATTAAAGGGGCAATTAATATTTTGGACAGGTCACTATGTATGCAAGAGTTAAGCTGAAGTATATGGTCATTATAATTGATGAAAGACTTTACTATGTCTTATTCCTTTGCTGTATTTCTCTTTCAGGAACGTAAATGTAGATAAATCTTCTGCCTTCTTTAGAGGTAGCGGCAGACAAGGTTAAAGCCAGTTTAACAATTCCCAGGATTATGTCTGCTGCTGATGCTGGTACTGCGAATAAATATGTGTGTGTGTGAAAAGCGGGAAACTAAAACGCAAGATCAACCACCCTTTCACTGTTTAAGAGGCAGCATATCCTCCTGATAATCATCATTTTACTGAAGGATCAATACTTGAGTAATAGGAAAAGAATCAATATTGTAATTGTAAGAATACTCATTCTAGATTGATGCATTTTTTGCTGTGGACATTTCCGTAGTAGGATGAGCAAAAGTTTTTTTGAAGGTATTTGTTGGTGTTGATCTTAATATTGTGTCGAGAATTTCCAGTAAGCAACTATTAGTATTTGAATATTTTTCACAACCCCTGAATTCGGTCTCCAGAGAAACTAGTATATGATACAATCCAGTTTTACTGTTGTACTTTTCTTTAGACTCTCACAAGCCTTCTGATTCCATATTGCCTTGTATCTGCACTCTCAAACTTGGACCAAATTTGTGAGGAGGTTTAGATTCTGTGTGTATGTGAGTTTAGCAAAGATAGTTGGGGCACGTGCACAGATAGCTATTCTCAGGGATGCTATTTAGAAATTAGCCATTAGTTATTTTCTCCTGAAATTTCAAACTAAAACTCTTAACTGCAGGACAATTCATGACATATTTGTCCCGAAAATTTGAATTGGAAAACTGAAATTCAGGACATACTGGCTAATTTCTAAATAGCAGCCCTTTAGAGTGTCTACCTAATGTCATTTCTACAAGATATTTGGTTCCATACCCGAATAAAGGAGGGTTACTTATCAAACAATAGAGAGAAATTATGGTACGTTGATAGCCACTATAAAAATATTTTAACTACGAAGAGTCCTATGAATACGTCTAGATGGGTAGGATATTAACGGTTCATATAGTTGATTCCAACTAGTTTGAGTTCATAGCCACTATAAAAATATTTTAACTATGAAGAATTCTATGAAGACGTCTAGATGGGTAGGATATTGATAGTTCATATAGTTGATTCCAACTAGTTTGAATTAAGACGCAGTTAATACATACTATGGTCTAACAGCTGTGGACTTGTAAAAATTTTCTGGAAAATTTGAGCCCTCAATTTTCAAATAGAAAAACTATAGATTGATTAGTATCTTGAGAGGATAATAAAGAGTGAGAATAGATCCATAAAGTGTAGTACCAAAAGAAGAAAATTTATCAATCATAGTCATGGATTCACTTTATCATATAGAATGGTTCTTTTGGTCATAAAGTTTTTTTTCTATTTTTTTTTTCTTCATTTTCTTTTTTTTTTTTGGACAGAAGGACCACCATATTCTGAAAACTGAGTACTACTCCTTTCATGTAGTAATCAATTGGCAGCAGAGAACTCCATGTATGAAAAATCACTGACAACATGACCAATGAGGAAGAAATTGCAATCAGTATGTAAATTTCAGTTTGCAAAAATAAATACTAGGCTGGGGACCATATTAGGTTAGGCTGAGGTTTGAATCTTAATCATTCAGATCTCATACATTAAGTGCGTTTGTTTTTAAAGCTTGAATCTTAATTATTCAGATTTTAATCATTAAGTGTTTTTTTTTTTTTACTACACAACCACTTAATGGGTCTGAATAGGTCTATATGATTAAGATCTATAACAAAGACTTAATTTCATTAAGATGATATCACATATTCATTATTAACTGCCGTCACCACCTACCATTATCAACTACCACCATGTCACCACCACCACCACCACCACCATCATCCTCAATCATAGCCGCCACCATTATCGACCATCACCACCCACCATCCCACCACTCCTGACCACCATCATTCTCACCCACAGTCAACACTCATCCACCTCAACTACCACAACCAACCATTCAATCACCGTCAACAACCACAGCCGGCATCGCCCATCATTATAACCTACCATCACCCACCCACCACCTTCCTCAATCACAATTACTACCACCACCCATCATTATTAACCATCACCACCCAATACCACCACCCTCAATCATAATCGCCACTACTACCAATCACTACTAGCTACTAGCATGAGCCACCATCATTAACCAAAACTACTACCAAGCACCATCTCTAGTCCGCATTCACCTGTTAGTCATCACCACCAACAACTATCATATTTTAAAAAATTATATATTTTATTGATAGAATATTAGATTAGTTAGTATTCATTTGAATTAGTGTTTATCAATTTTAAATAAAATAAATTTTATACATTCAGATGTTAAAAATCAAACAGTCTTAATTTTCAGTATTCAGATCTTAATACACATCTTAATATGTATTCAGATTCAGATGTCTTAATCTTAATACACATCTTGATGTTCAGATGTGTATTTAGATTCAGACGTCTTAATCTTAAAAAAAGAAAAACAAATGAGGCCAATAGCAAACAATTGTTTGATAGTCAATTCTTATGGAGCAGTCTAATAGTAAGATATGTATCAACCATAAGGATTTAAGTTATATATAGTGATAGATCTTTTACACAGTTAATACTCCCTCCGGTTCAAAATAAGTGATTTTTTGGCCTTTTTCTTGTGGTCCAAAATAAGTGATTTTTTCCGATTTCAAGAATGAATTAATTATTTTTTCCCTATATTATCCTTGGAGTAAATAGTGTTGGAATATGTGTTAGGAGTGTTTATGTGAGATACTAAAGGTTAATATGGTCAATTTCATTGCTAATTAATGCTAAAAGGTGGATTTCTTAATCTGTGTGAAAACATCCAAAAAATCACTTATTTTGGACCGGAGGGAGTATATTTTAACATGTTATAATTTATTTCTTAATTAAATAAATAATTGTAATACTTATCATAAGATGTCTCTCTAGTTATTTTATGATTTGATTGTATAAAGTTTCTTTTATATCTTCACTCATAAGACTTTGAGATATCGTATCGATGATACTAATACTAATGATAATATTATTATTATTATTATTATTATTATTATTATTATTATTATTATTATTATTATTATTATTATTATTATTATTATTATTATGTTCTAGATGGGTCGGGATCAATATGCTATTTCGGTGAAAATATTTCACTAATTGTTCTTAAGAACTAGTATTGGCACCCGCGCGGACACTAACCATGTTAAATATTTGAGTTATTTGGATTATATGTAAATAATCTTAAATTCTAAACATTCTCGATAAATATAGGTAATCGTTGAATATTAATTAAGAAACATTGCATGAAAAAAATTAATCATTTCTCAAATCTCCTAGTTATAATTATACTTTTCTTTTTTGGTACAATTCTCTCCAGTGTTATTGGATCCTAAAAACAGTCAGGAAGCAAAATAATAATTTATAATGGTTAAACAATTAAAGGTTGAGACTATGAAGGGCTCTTTGGATACGACTTGACTCTTTTACTAGTACTTGAACTCTTATTTGGTGTGTTGATATCTTTCAAAAGCTATTTCTATTTTAAAATTTTAGTTTCTAAAACTTTATTTTTGAATAATAATTATTTTTATAATAATATAAGTGAAAATATTATCCTTAATTCAAAACTCAATTTAGTTGGCTATCTAAAAATTTACAAAAATTCTTTAGCCAGTGAATTTTTGTACAGTATGACTCCATTTCGATTTTTGATATTAACCATGTTAGATATCTGAGTTATTTGAATTATATGTAAATAACCTTAAATATTATCTGAGTTATTTAAAAATTTAAAAAAATTCTCACCAATCCTTTGCCATTATTATTATTTTCTAGATGGGTCGGGATCAATATGCTATTTCGGTGAAAATATTTCACTAATTGTTCTTAAGAATATTCACCTAATCGTCAATTTGATGCTTGTTATAAATAGAATTTTTTTATGGTGAATGTCTATATTTAGAGAGATTCTAGGGTTCATTGCTTGGTGGCTAAGTCACCCTCTCCCTATAAATAGAGGGTTTTATTCTATTGTAATTCATCCCAAGTTCAATAAGAATTCTCTCCCTTTACTTTTCTCTGCAATACTCTTTTCTTCTTTTATTGTTTTATAACACGTTATCAGCACGAGACTCTAACCAATTGAGTAGAAGCTTTGGGATTGAGCATAATGATTGTCAATTATTCCATGAAATTCCTTCATGATTAAATTCTGAATTTAAGGTAAGTATTTTACCGTATTTTTCTCTTTTATTCAATACTTTGATTTTAAATACAAGCAAAGACAACACAGTTTGATTATAACTCTAATGGAGTTTGTAAGAAATTATAACCACCTGAAGTGGTAAAATTTCTATGCCTCGCCATGATCAAATTCATGTATGATTGTGGGCAAAGAATTGAAAACCCGATCCATTGAATTTGCTCCATTCTCGTTCCCTTAAGAGAATGTGATAGCAGTATGTGATAAGTCTGAAAGAAGATAAAATTATTACTATGAATGTATAAATGGATATGGACGTGGCAATAGACGAAATTATAATCGTCATCATTTGTGGTAATGAGAACAATAAGGATTCTCAAAATAATCTTTCACTATGTGAAAAATATTTGTCATCGATTTGACATGAGATTTTGTAAAGCACATATGGATGATTATGGTCCGTTCGTGATGCGAATGTGACAACATCTGATTTATGAATACATATTCATTCTTCAAAGAATATGAACGTGCTAGTGGTAGTGAATATACCGCACTCACCCCTAAAAGGAGGTTTGAGATAATATAAGAAAATAATGTCATTATTATGGCATGAATGGTCATTGGTCACGTACCTATTGTACGGCAAAATATTTTTGCATTGTGATTGTTAAAAGACAATGGTAATGCAAGAAACAGATCTTGCATATAATTTTGACCATAACCATAATGGTATAACTTTCTCTTTAAAAGAGATATTCACCATATGGGTGTTGATGAATATGTGGTACTACAAAATTAATTGAGAACTCTGCAAGAGCCAATTATACTATTTTGGAGAAACACAATTAATTACCAATAAGGTATTGTGTTGTAGTAAGTCTCAAAGAAACTTATTTAGTTTCCAAAGTATACGCGAAAGCGGTTGATTATATTGAGACTATAAATAATGGAAAGATTTAATATCTTCTATTACTACACTTGTAGCAGCGTAATATATATGTGAAAAGCTACCCGCTTTATTCTCCAGTTTATACTACATAAACAAAAGAATACCACAATGAAGTGGATATTATTGATATAAAAACCCATATCATAATAAACTTGGAGTTTATTCATAATTGCACACATCATGGTGTAAACTTGAAGTTTATCAATATTGATAATTTATCCAGTTGGCATAATTGGTTTAGCCATGTTAATTCAAGTATGATGTGCAAAAATAAAAGAGAATTCACA